CAGTTCAAATAAAAAAAAATTATTTTCTTAAATATATTGTTATTGCTGTTATTTTTTTGAAAGAAGAATATACTCTTTTTTTATCTCTCTTTCACCCCATCACAATAATCTTATTTAAAATTTATTTGTTGTACGTACAACAAATAAAATTTAAATAAGATTATTGTGATGGGGGCAAAAGAGAACAACTTTGTAGGTGCGTGAGTAAAAATTTTAAATTGCTTTATACTGTATACTAATATTATACTGTTATATATCATTGGAAAGAGGATCAATACAGTATTTTATAGGGTAAAAAACTATTAAAATTGAACTATTTCTTCAAAAGTTATAACGGTTTAAGTACCATTTTTTTTATATATGGTTTTTTTTTAAAAATTGTGGTCACAAATAAGTTTTTTTTAACTTAAATAGTCATAACTTTGTCAATTATTATCGAAATACAAATATCTTGATATCAAAATATAGGTGTAAAAGTGAGCAAAATTTATATTGACCACTAAACACTGGGTGTATCCAAGAGGGGGCAATAAACCACCACGTTTACCATAAGAAATTAAACACTTTTTTTTGAAAAAAATCTTTTTTCAAGACATAAATAGTTGAAATTTACAAAAAATTTGTTACAAATTTATATTAAACCATCAAAGTGTATGAGAAGCTTATGTTAAAGATGGAGTTGGGTGTGGTGGTGATTGGTTTGATACACACTAGTATCAAAAATGACTTGTTTTTGTTAATAGTTTTATCTTTAATAAAATAAATTAAATTAGTATACAATATAAAATTATGTTAAACAAAAATTTATGTATTCAAATAGTGTTTACATTGACTTATAGGAGGGGTGTATGCCCCCTCCCCCAAACTTAAAAAAAAGATAAAATAACTTAACTACTGTTTCCTAAAGTCCTAAAACAAAGTTTTTTCCTGTATAAAAAAGGTTATGTAAACTAATACCAGATAATTACCAAATATCAAAGGTGAATTTAAAACTCATGGTAAATTTTTTGATGACACCCAAATATAAAAAAAAAATTTCAGTAATGAAATAACTAATTGGTTATTTGAAGTACAACAACAAAGAAGTAAAAAACATTATACTATCTAATAATTTCATTTCAAAATTTTAATAAATAGAAAACAATATTGAAAACCCTTATCTCTATTATTATTTTCCATTTTTTAATGAAAATTTTATTTTGTCTAAATTAAATATTAAAAATGTTAAATTAACCGCTCTGTCTCCCAAGGCCATTTCGGGCGAGTGAAAATTAGGTACAAAAAATGCGACTTAAAATAGACACCTGCTACAAAATATTTTTAAATCAAATTTGGCAGGTGCATAAATAATTTTAAAAAATTTAAAAAAAAAGTATAGAAAAAAAAAGCATATCTTCATCATTAATTTCATGCCCAAAGGACAACAAAGTTTTATACTTCAAAAAACTCAATAATAAAGCCTTGTAAAATAAATCTAACAGAAATAAAGTTTAACTATTCTAGTTTCTAAAGATAATCTATGTTGATATCAAATTCTGAAAGGTTTTGTGACTAAACACGTCTTCACTATGCTAAGTAAAAAAAAAAATTTGAAAAAAGGTGGCACAGACTTAAGCACTAAACTCGGTTCGGTAAAACGTAGATTTCCACTACCTAAACTTTGGAGATATTTTCTAAGAGTCAATCTAATTGATAAAAATGTTACATAAAAAACATAACAATGTTAATTAACTCAATCAAACTTTTTTAAAAATGGGTAACAGGTTACCCGGCAACGATTAGTTGCCATGGTAACACAATTAGGCTGGTATACTTAAATTTATTTATTAGCTTGGTTTCATACAGTTTTAGAAACGTTGTACTGCAATTTTTGCGTTTTTGTTGTACAAAAATGGTTTTGATTTGATTTCCGCAACTTTTGTTAGCTTTTGCAAAGTTATGCAACGGCGTTAACTTGTGCAACGCAAGAAAACGTAAAATAATAAACATTACAACTGCAATAGTATGTATTTGAACAAAATACTGTTACAGTATTTTGTTCAAATACATATGTGTAAAAAACAACTCAAAATTTCTTTTTTTTGTGGGTTGGTGCCCACCAGTTAACAAAAAAGAGATAAATTATTTAAAACTAGAACTCTTTGATAAAATAAACAAAGCAAAGTTAAGTGGTATGCGCATCACCAAGTAAATCTATTTTATATCTCATCAATAAAAACTATTTTTTATATCAACAAAATCTTATAAAGTTTATTTTTTGCTTTTTGTCTATTTGGTGCCCTAGTTATTTTGGCGCCCCTTTTTCCCCTCTCTCTTGGCGGCCCTGTATATATATGAACAAAATACTGCCCGCCTATCTTTACGAACTTCAGATTTAGACGATCAATATAACACCCGAAACCGAAAACAGGTTGAAAAAAGTTGGTAGTTCAAGTTTTGTAGGAAGTAGGGAGTATATAAATTAAAAGCAAATAAAAATGAGAAAGCATTTATTCAATAAGCAATCATAATAAAATTGTATTTTCCAGTTTCCGACGATATGTGAAAAAACCTAAACATGAAATAAAGTACGCACCAAACTACAAATGTTGGCAAGTTTTAACTTGTGAAAAAGAAATATTTTTAAAAGATTATGTAGTAATAATTATAAAAACTTCTGGGATAAAATTTACTCGCACTCAGTTATAAAATTAGCAAATGATTTTTCCGAACATGATGATTAAATTGTTCCACATTCGTGGATTGATGCTTACTGCTTGAGAAGATTAGTTGTATCGTTATATGAAACGATATACGAATCTTTCTTTACGTAGACCAGAAACAACTAGTTTGTCACACGCTACAAGTTTTAATAAAAAAAATATCGCAGATTATTTTAAAAATCTGGAAAAAAACTCTTCAAAATCACAATTTTAGTTCTAACGACATTTATAATGCTAATGAAAGGTTGTTGTAAAGTACAAATAATAGTTGATATTAATTTTATTGCCAAGAAAAAAGATAAACAAGTTGAAAAAATTACTTTAGCAGAGAGTATTTCGAAATATTACATTATGCGTAAAAAAATGATTTTTTATATAATTGAAAAATTGGATTTCTAATTTATCAATATTTGCTCAAAACAAGACCCAGTAAGCACAGATCGTTTTTAAAACGTTTAACAAACGTTAATATTCGCTTTTTTAAGTTTTTTAAACGTTTTAAAAACGTCTTGTGCTTACTGGGGATATGCGTAAAGAAAAATTTCTTGGATTTTTAAATGCAAAATCAATAGCCTAATCAGTTGCCCAAAAAAAGCTTGTCTTTTCAGCTGTGAATTCTACTAAGAACTGTTGTACAATCTAAACAAAAAATGTACAATCAAAACAAAACTGTTAAAAGAAAATGAGCTAAACCATATTGACATTGTAATAAACACTGATATCTAGTGGCTAAAGAATTGTCATTAGATTCATTAATCAGTCTAGACATAACTAATTAAATAAAGCCGATTATTAACGTATTTTATTCAACCCTGTATTTCACCTTATTTTTCCCTAACTACCTTGTAGCGAAACTAACTACCTTGTAGCGAAACTAACTACCTTGCAGCGAAAATAGTCAATTTAATGTTAAAATATAACTCTTGACCGTTGTAAAATGTATACAAGTACATGTTTTAAGTTTACTGAAAGCAAGTTTCACTTCCGAGAGTATTATGACTATATAGAAAGAATAAAAATTATAACACAGTCAAATATTTAATATATTTATGAAAAAGAAAATATTCGCTTTTCATTAAAATTCTCTCATGGAATTTCATACAATCATCTCATGGAGACTTTGGGAAAGATTCTTTACAAGATGATTGAAAAATATTTGCAAATGTTTTATTTAATAATTTAGAATAAAAAAATAAGCAATGTCATAACTATTTTATTATATCTTTTATTTCATTCTATTCTGTTTTGCTCAATTGTACAACAAAGTTTGTTTTAAAAATTACACGCTTTTAAATTTTGGATGATTTTATGTATGCTAAGAAAAAATATGACGGTTCTTTCTTGCAACCATCATTTTAAAAATATTTGTAAAATAAACAGTATAAACTTGAAACAAATGAAACTTGAAACAAATATATTATAGCATGAAACATTAATTGTAAACATGGCTAAGAACTATGAGTGTACATACCACTTTATACTCAAAGAAGTGCAGAAGTATCTAGCCATGCTTAAAGGTTTGTATTTTTGGTGTGGCTGGTAACCTTAAAATGTGCACAAAAAAATACCAAGCGTTGCAGGACACAGTATGTCTTTATAATACCTTAGTAGACTTTTTCAATGAAACTTGAGCGACGTTTTACAGCTCTTAATATCGCATTATTAAAAAATCTGATCCAATAGTTAATTGTAGTATGCTGATTTTTTTTCCTTTAAGTATACCAGTAAACTTAAAATAACTCCATGCAGCTCATTTTCTATTATTCAAAGATGCTTTCAAAGCAGAAACTAACGTATTTGAGATACCACATTGGTTTTCTCATTCATATATTTTTTTACTTAACTTAAGAAACAAAGCCTAAAGTTCGTTTATCATTGCTTTTAATAGTTAAATTAAACAGGTCAAGCCTGATAAGCTAAGGCGGAAAAATAACTGTTTAATCAAAAAAAGTTACTAATATATTTTTACTGGACTATGCTGAGTCTCTAAGATGCCAATATTTACGAATATATTTTTCTAAGGTATGCGAACTTAGTGTCACAACTTTTACAAATATAGTATGTTTGAGGGTAACAAAAAATATCGAATGTGTTAAAGTGTAATGCTAAATTTAAAATTTTTTAGTAAGTAGTCAAAAAAATAAAACTGTACATAAAAAAATAAAATGGTACCATACTACCAATAGTTTTTGGAAAAGTGAAAATTAGTGATGTATATGTTAATATATATTATTTATATAAGCATATCTTTAGAGTTACGAGTACACTCATGTATTAAATCAAAAAACAAAAACAAACCTTTACAAGCTTCGGGAGATAAGAAAAAACGTTTGTAATTGCCATAGCACTAAACAGCTAAAGAGAGTAAAACTATATATATAAATTTATAATTGAATATAAAATAAAATGATATATATATATATAACATATAATAAGGATGAACCTGCGCAAGAAAGCGAACCTTTTAGTTTTGAGTTGTCTTAATTGACTTTTAAAAACGGGGATTTTTCAGGGCAATATATATCGGTTAGCTTCTTTAAATTTTCCGCTTTTTAATGCATTCCGGATATTTAATCTGAAAATGAGGTGTCAGGGTCCCAGTCCTCCATGAATTACAACACGTACAACAGATTTAAAAGGATTCATTTCAGTAAAGGATCACACTTTAGTTATTCAGTTAAAAGATGGGACAGTAAAATAAACATTATATAAGACAGTATAATAAACTTTTTTTAATGATTTTTTTAATGATTTTACTACTTTTAAAATGACATTTTTCAGACGAAAAACTTATCTAAGTATTGCGAGCTGTTTGTATAATCTGATAGAATAAGTGTAATCTGTGTGAATAAGCTGATGTTTTCCTGTATTTATGATTTTCCAAAATCTTTTCTTGTCTTCTTTGTTATACCTAAAACCACATATTTTGGAAGATCACGATTTATTTTAAAGATAATGATGGATTCACTTCTTAAATGCTAATTTAAGAAGTGATGTCATCTTAGTGAAGGCTAATCTCACAAGAAAAGAATTCAGTTAATCTTAAGTTTGTAGTAAAATATACGACATTAACTTTATTATGATGATAAAGGAGTATGTAGTAAATGTTTTACTGAAATAATAGCTTGGTCTAAACCACCTAAACAAGAACAAAGAGAGATTTAGCAAAATTTAAAATTGAAGACAATACACAAATTAAGAAATTAAGACATTGGTACGACTAACAATTTTAAGCGTTAACCTCAACTTTTAAAAAAAAATACAGTTTTTTTTTAAAAACGATTCAAAGTAATTAACTGAGTAACAGAATTTAAAAAATTTGAGTTTTATAATCAGCAGGTTTAGTGATATTAAAGCCAGACTAATAACAACAATATTGGCTGAAGGTAAAGAAGATAAGGCTCTATCAATTTGATCCAAAATAACATCAAGAAGCATCCTTTAAAAACGGAGCTTAGCTTTGAAATCAGAGTTTAACAAATTTTAAAACCTAATTTAGGGGGTAGCCATAAAGTATGTGTGGAGGTATGGAGGAGGCAGAAGCGATTTAACAGAGGATAGGGGTCTTATACCTTTTCCACCTTCCTTATTTTACCTTAAAGAAGGTGATCTTTAAGTTATAGTTGATTATCTAAGAAACATAGTCTGCTGTAGGATATTTGACACATTTAAGTCAAATGATTTTTAGTTTTAAGGGCCTATTTTTTTCTTTTTTAAAAGTAAATCAAGCCTTAAAAAACAATTGGTACTTTTTAAAGATTTACTTCCCCACCCTTATTTTATTTCTAAACTTAAAAATTTTAAAAACTCCTGCGTAAAAAGTTCATTAAACTAATTTTTAAACTTAATTTATTTATTTCGTCATTAAAAAAAAGGTTTCAGCGCCGCGATATATAAATAAAATCTACATGACCTGGGATAAAAAAATGACAATATTTGCCTTGTCACTACGTCCCAACGTGCTTTTATTAGCTAGCGTGTACAACCAATAAAATTTAAACATACAATTACTTTGTAGCATTTAAAAATTTTGTACAAGTATTTACAAGTATGTTAAGATTAGTTACTAAGCTATAAACAAAAAGAATTTTTAAAAAGAAAATAAAAAATAATCAAACGTAAAAACTAGAGATAAGTTATTAAGATAATTTAAAGAAAATTTTAGGACAATTTAATAAAGTAGTTGTTAAAAATAAAGTAAAAAAAAAAAATGACAAAAAAGTATAAAAAAGAAAAATAATACTAATCTTAAAAAGAATTTAGTTCATTAAAATCGTTAATAAGTTTTTGTTTCAGTTGTTTTTTCTTAGAGAAAAAAAAACAATTTTTCAGCTCGTTATTTCTAAAAAGTGTTCCATAACTTTCCTCGTATGGTAAGGGAAAATTTGGTATAATTCTGACAGCGTGTTTTTGTCTGCTAACCAATTTTTAAACTTTAATTAAACTAGAGCAGCACCAAGCAAAATTTGCATAGTTTATATAACACTGTATGAGGGAGAAATTCAAAATTTTTAAGCAGTTTTGGTTTCATAAATGCTTGGCTTTGTAAAGTATGCTTATATTTTTTGAAATTTTATTTTCTATCGTACTTATGTGTTCTCTCCATGTTTGGTTTTCGTCAAGTATCACTCCTAAAAACCTCAATGATTACTCTCTAATTATTTTAGTGTTGCCAATAAAAAGATCAGGAAACTTTAATGCAATTTTTTTTTGTTGTGAAGTCTTTTAAAAAAGGTTTACTTAGTTTTACTTAAACTAAAGGGCAATTTGTTTGCCTAAAATCCGCTAGATTTAAAAGTTCCTTGCTTAATACTTTAAATAAAAAGTTGACAGAATGCAATGCTGTGGGGCGATTATCGCGTTACGTGTGTGACTCTGGTACAAATATTTTCAAATGAAAAGGGGCCATAAAAAATTGTTTACTACAGATATGCAGGTCATTGATATAGTTTATTTGAAAATCAGTCACTTGAATATGCAGTCGGGAATCAAAGTCACTTAAAATTGAAATTCGAGAATGTAGTTAATTTTATAAAGTGATTTTTTTAAAGAATAGCAAACTTTTTATTATAAAATAACTTTTTGCATTATTATTTTACTATTTCCGGTACTACCAGACTTAAAAAACAACTATATTTCTGTGTTTTCCTAGTATGTTCACTGCATTTTTTATGTTTTTTATGAATGTTTTGATTTTTTATATTTTTTATGTATGTTTTATGTATTTCTATGTTTTGTAACTTATATGCAAAGTAAATTTCTAGTTTCAATAGCTTTAAACTTGAACTAATCCTAATTAAAGTAAACTTACGACAAATAAGAACGAAGTCAGTGTTATTCCAAGCGGCAATGGTGTGACCCCTTTTCCGTAGATGATTCGTTTTATAGTTTCTCCCAGTCTCATTTTTGAATTATCTTGTAAGACTTCTCTTTTATTCAATGAACTCTCTCTATATATACACATAAATATATATATATAAATATATAAATATATATATATATATATATATATATATATATATATATATATATATATATATATATATATATATATATATATATATATATATATATATATATATATATATATATATATATATATATATATATATATATATATATAAATATGGATGTATGTATATATATGTACTTGTATATGTATATATATATATATATATATATATATATATATATATATATATATATATATATATATATATATATATATATATATTTATGTATATGCATATATATATTGCATATATATATATATATATATATATATATATATATATATTTATGTGTATGTATATATATATATATTGCATATATATATATATATATATATATATTTATGTATATGCATATATATATTGCATATATATATATACATATATTTACCATTATATTAACTTCATAATTAAAAAGTAAAAACGATCTTAAAATAAAAAAATAAAATAAAAAAATCATTTGAAATTATTTAAAATTTTCAATTAATTTAAAGTTTCTGCTCTAATAATAACTATATTGATATTAGCATAAAAGTTAATATAATATGAATAAACATATTTTTTTTGCTTGAAAAAAAAGCACAGACAAAAGTATACGTGCTTAATAAAACAAACAAATAAACATACATAAAATAATCAAATGTTTTAAAAACAGCAATCAGCAAAATATATTTTATTGTTGGGTTGTTTTTATTTAATAGCTTTTTTTTGTTTTTAAGGTTTTAATAATATTAGCATAATGTTTTTAACATCCTTAAAACTTTGATAAAATAATACTTAAGTTTTTAAGTTTAGTTTTTTTTCTGTAAATTTTTTATTCTTATTAATTTCAATTTTATTTATGCAAATTATAGTGTTCAGTAACGAAAAAATGAAAATATATTTCGGAAGAAGAGAGGGAGGGAGAGGAGAGGGAGGTAGAGGAGAGGGAGGGAGAGTATCTTTTTATGAGATTGAGGATATAATAAATTAATTTAAAACACATTTTTCTCAATAAAATATTTTTCTTAATTGGAAATTTCTGTTGTTATAATATTAATCTAAGATTGTTAAATTTATTCAATTAAAATGCTTTTTATTAGCTTTTCTTTATATAAAATGTTTTAAATATCTAATATTACATATTCAATAACAAACGAAGTAGAAAAAGATTTCTTATGAAAAATAAAATATAAAAAATATAAAATACACCCTGCCCAATTTTTAACTTTATTTTTAACTTTATTTTAGTCAAGACTATATCTTGATAGTATTGTTTTGTTTTTTTTTAAATAAAGTTAGACAAACAAAAACTAAATGTTCAGAAAATAAAAAAAAAAAGTCGAAACCACTCTTCTGAAGCCATTTAAATGGTAAATTTGTTGGTTTATGGTAGAATTAGTTTTTTAATTTTTTTTTTTTTTTTTTTATTGAGCTTTTTGTATCGCGCATTTTGTTATTAAATAGTTTTGTTCAGTAGTGTAACTTTAAATTCCCCCCTCCATCCGCCAAAAAAGTAAAGGGGCCCTCCTTAAATTTTTTTTCATTTTATCTCCAAAAATGCCCGTAGAGGTACGTTAGAAATTATAAATTCATAAAATGTATATGATAAAACAGAAATTAGTAACACTCACTTTATTATTACCAGCCATATTATTCATATGAGTAAAATGTGTAAATCTCTGCGGGGCCCTCTAAGCTCCGGGGCCCCCCGCTTTGCGGGGTTATGCCACAGGTTTTGTTTTCCGTATTAAATCCAATCTAATATTAATATAATATAATAAAAATTTGTTTTTAACTTTTTCTTCATTTTCCTTTGAATTAAGCTTTAAAACCTTAAAATTTTACTGCCTAAAATGTATTTATCAAGTATAATTGTTTATTTTATAATTATTAGTATAAATTATATTATAATAGTTATGTTTATTTTTATAATTACTATTTATTAATTTTACTATAATTATAAAACCATTGTTTTAATTATTAGGTATAACTTTTATTAAAGTTATCATCTTATAGTCATTATTTATAATTCTTTTATTGAGATTATAATTGTTATCGTTATTGCTGTTAATAATGTTATCATTATTTATTTGTGCTTTATTTTCTTTTGATTATTTTATTCTGTTTTTATGTTAGTTTTCTTTGTTTTTATTTTTCATTGTTTTATATTTTTACATTTTCTTTCTTTATTTATTAATTTTTTGTTTGTTTTTTTTAATTTTAAATTCATTCTATGTTTTAGTTATTATTATTTTTTATAATGTGTCTCAATTGTCAAGTTTTTAACTATACAAGCGATACCTAATCTTATTTATGTGAGTTTATGTATTATTGTAAGTTTTTATATTTTATAGTGAAATAAATTGACAAAAAAAATTAAAAAATTTATAAACTTTATAAAATCTTATATTTTTTTTATTTTTTTTAATTTTAATTAAGTTGCGGTCCTTAGGATATTTCATTTTCAAAATGGTTCCAACCAACTCTGCAGCTTATTTAGTAAAAAAATGATCTGACAAATTGATCTAACATTTTGATCTAACATTTTGATCTAACATCTTCGACATTTTTTTAAAATGTTTAATTAAAGAATAATTGTTAAATTTATTGCAACGAAAAGTAAAAAAAAAAACTATTTCGATATCTTTTACTTGAGGTAATACAATAAATATGTATTATATAAAGTTAATCAAATTTAAAGTTTTTGTGAGAGAATAGAACAGTTATGTTGTAATACTGAGTTTTAAAACAATTTCTAATAAATGTATTTATTAAGGGTTTATCTCTTCAGCAGATAAAGGCCTATTGATTGTAAGCTTAAAGCATTTTGCTTAATGCTATTTATTTCGAGTTAAAAAGAGAGTTAACCTGGAGAAAGATCAGACATTTAATTAATATTTTTATGTTTATTTAATTGGTGTTTATTAACATAAATAAATTAATTTCTTTTTTATTTATGCTTATTTGTTTATATCCAAAACCCCCAACTAACTAAAACAAAAAAAACATTATAAAACTATATATAGCTGTAGAATGTAGAGACAAAAGAACTATATTTACTGGTATTTGCACAAAAGTAAGTCATTTTAAAGCAAATAGCTTTAACAGTTTAACGACAAAATTTCGTGGTCACAAAAACGTAGTATATCTTTTTCTAAAAAATAATTTTATCAATATATATATATATATATATATATATATATATATATATATATATATATATATATATATATATATATATATATATATATATATATATATATATATTATGTGAATCATTAATACTGATATCAATATATATATATATATATATATATATATATATATATATATATATATATATATATATATATATTATGTGAATCATTAATACTGATATCAACAAGCGCCTTTCTTATGCTTTTTTTTAACTTATTAAACCTTTCAAGTATTGATAAGCTGCTCCATCTTGTTTTACAATCTTTGATTAAATAAAGATTTTTTCCGAAGTCATTTTTTGCATATTTTTGAAGACAATCATCATTTTTTGTTAGTAATCTTTTAAAAACCATCACGATTTTACTAACTTTGTTAATCACAGAATCAATTGCTTTGTTTTTAATTATTACGTCTTCAATTATTTGATTATCCACTATAAAGCAACTCTCATTGCCATCTTCATTGCTATTTGATTAACAGCTTTCACTAAATTCAGATTCATTTTCCGAATTTTCAGTGTGATTATCAATTTTCTCGACTAAATTTCTCTGCGTACAATTTGATGCTGACATATTATATAAAACTGAAATAATAGCCATTTGAATACAGTGAGCAAAACTTAACTGTTGACTAATCTATAATAGTTTTCTAATTTTTTTCATAAGGCTGCGTCTGTTATTATGAGCACAATATTTTTCATAAGGCTGGCTCCGTCTGTTATTATGAGCACAATATTTTTCATAAGGCTGGCTCCGTCTGTTATTATGAGCACAATTTTTTTCATAAGGCTGGCTCCGTCTGTTATTATGAGCACAATATTTTTCATAAGGCTGGCTCCGTCTGTTATTATGAGCACAATATTTTTCATAAGGCTCCGTCTGTTATTATGAGCACAATATTTTTCATAAGGCTCCGTCTGTTATTATGAGCACAATTTTTTTCATAAGGCTCCGTCTGTTATTATGAGCACAATACTACTTTCAAGATTTAAACCAAAAGCGGAGAGTTTTTCTTTAAGTAAAATAGTGTGTAATTTTACTTAAAGTAAATTTCAGCTGGCATGTCCCTACGATCTTTACTAAACTTAAATTCCGAAAATTGTCTCTATGGTGTAAATTGGTGTTCAAATAACGGGTATTTCGAATCGACGTCCACTCATCAAAAGAAATTGAAAACTTAGTTCCACTGTTAACTCATTTTTTTATACCATTCTTTATATTGTTAGAGAAATCAAGTACCTTTTTTTAACAGTGTTTGGAGATTTAGATATGTTGACAAATCGCTTCATAGCCAGTCCAGCACGTATATCAATAAAGTGCATATTGCGTTAAAAGAAATTGCATCTTTAGTGGTTAATCTTGCAAACACCACTGGCTAGCTGTCTTCTTTATTCATATTCGATGAAAATTATGAACTAATTTTACTTTGTGGTTCTTCTTCCGATGTCAGAAAATGTGCCAGTTCTGCTTTTAAATTTATTGATGAGAATGCAAAACTTTTGTTGATCCCCCCGTAATTTTCAATACTTTTTTGCAATGGATCAGTCTAAACATTCCTGTTTCACTTTCTTTGTTGCACAAAAAATGTTTCTATATAGAGGTTTTGCTGTTGAACTCTATGAAATTTGACATGGTATCCTAATTTTACGAATCAAAGAATTATAATATAAGTATATAAGAATTTATTAACAATTTTAAATTTTTTATTAAGGCAAATTTTTAAAGTTCAATAAATTTAAATAAATACACTCTATTATTACAAAAACACAGTATA